ACCAACTATTTAAGTTGATTTGCATACAAAGCAGAGCTTGCAACATGATAGCTATTCATAAAGGATGTTTTTTTTTACTTTTCATATAATACAGTAGTCACACAATGAGGCAGTTCATATTTGTCTCAGTGAATCATTAATTTTTGACAGACACCTGTACAAAATACTTGGACTAAAGCCAGCTAAATTTTTAGCTCCGCTGTCAACTTTGTCGAGCGGAGCTTATCATATGAGTGATTGTCCGTCGTCGTCCGGTGTCCGTTGTCCGTGTCAATGTTTTAAATTTTCGACTTCTTCTTGAAAACTACAAGTCTGAATGCTTTGATACTTGGTGTATATGTACCTTGGGTAGACCTCTCTCAGATTTGTTCATTTCATGATCATATCTTCAATTCTCTAATTTTGGTGAATATTTTTGGTAAAAAATGATGTTTTCTTCTTGTTAAAAACCACAATCATTTATGGTCAAAAATGATATTTTTGAATTCTTGTTGAAAACAGCAAGTCCCATTGCATTGATACTATGCATATTGTTCATTTTCTAATGATATCTTCTGTTCTTTAATCGAAATGTGCATTGCTAACAGCGGAGCTATCTCAGCCGAGAGGCTGCTTGTTCTGTTATCTTGCATGTTTTATGAATCTATTCACATCTAAATGCAGCACTTATTTTTTTGCAATGAGACATTTGTTTTTATTCTAAAATATCTGAATTACTTTGAATAAAGCTGGAAATTATGTTCCTTAAAATAATTAAACAAATAAGGCACCAATGTTTTTGTAAGATATTTACATCTTTTAAGGACATTCGTTAGACTGATTCCCCACTGTTGGTTCAACCCCAAAACTTGATTGTATTCAAAATTAATTATGACAATGCATATTTATATTGAAACAAACTATGATAAAGGGAATTATATTATATAACAAAGGGCAAGGTCACCAGAGTTCAACTATGTTTTAAACTTGGTGCATGGGCTCTGCTCTGGGCCAATGCGCAGATTTAATTAGGTTTTAGTAAAAATCCGTGCATATTAATTACCTTATTTGCGTAATGGTTAGTACATTTTCGGCTTTTCCACTGATATCTCAACTGCTAATCATTACATTTCAATGAAATTTGGTACATAGATGTCATATGACACTGCACAGACCTGATAGTTTTTAAGGTAATATCAGTACATATTAATTATCTAATTTGCATAATAAATTAATTTTCAGCTTTTGAGATTTCAAGTAGTAAGCATTACATTTCAATGAAACATGGTACACTGTAACCTCAATACATGTATAATGAACACCGTTATAATGAATTTCCTGATATAATGAACACATAGCATGTCTCCCGCTCACAACAAACCCAATGTATTATGTTCTTCATTATAGTGAACACTTCACTATAACGAACTAATTGTATGTCCCCCAAAGAGTTTGTTATAACGAGGCTACAGTGTATATAGATACTCGAGCACTATGCAGAGATCAATTGTTTTGGGATAAATATTTGTGCATATTAATAACCTAATTTGCATAATTAGTTAATTTTCGATTTTTCACATGTATCTCAAGTACTAATGGCATTTCAATGAAAACTTGGTACACAGATCCTCTAGGACTATGCAAAGATCTGGTTAGTTTTGGGGTAAATAATTGTGCATATTAATTAACTTATTTGCATAATTATTTAATTTTCAGCTTTTTCACTGATATCTCTAGTACTTATCACCTTTAAATTAACCTAAACTATGCAGAGAGCTAATTAGTTATTGGTATATATTTATGCATATTAATCACCTAGTTTGCATAATTAATAAATTTCAACTTTCACACTAATATCTCAAGTACTAATCATCACATTTCATTGAAACTTTGTACATAGATGCTCTAGGACAATGTTCAAAAATGATCAGTTTTGGGTTAAAATCACTAATTCATAATAAATTCACTAATTAGCATAATAATTCATAATTGTTTGGTTCTGATCACATTTCAATGAAACTTGGTACATAGATGGTCTGTTACATTATTAGTTTTACACTCTGTTCATTTTAATTTTCGGATTTGCACAATTAGTTTTCAGCTTTTCCATCAATATCTCAAGTATTAATTAATTTTCAATGAATTAATCTTTACTGTGTCTCTAATACTCTCAGCACACAGGAGTTCTTTCTAAGCTTTCTTTGATCTCAGTTGTGTGAAGGCAGCTTGGATCAGTACTACATTATTCTCTTTATTACAGAGGTCAGTTATTGAAAAATTAGCTTAAGAAATTGATATCCAAAATAGTATCATAGGACATTTCTAATCATTTACCATGTTTTGGGTGTAAAGTAAATTTAACAGAAAACGCTTAAATTAGACATTCTGAAAAAATCTCAAATTGCTCATGTTCAGTGAATACAATTATCGTAAATTACAGATGTATTTCTATGGTCGAAATAAGTTCTACTTCAATGATTTTGGGTTGTGTGCTAATAAAGCAAATATATCAATGAAAACACTCCAGCTCATATATAAAATATTGGCCTTA